AATTTGTGAATTGTGGAGTGAAATGTTACAGCTTGCTGTGAATGCTCTTAGCTGAACTCTTACACTCTGTGCACAATTATTATGCAAATCTTATTTTGGAGGATTTTTTAAAATCTCCTTTCTCCAGTGCTCCTGGGTAATCCAAAATATTAATAAGTCTCAAACATGAAGGTTTAAGAAAATGAGATTTCTTTAGGCTTTACTGGGGGATATTAATTGTATTGTGCAGAATTATTACGCAACTAAATGAAACCCACATTTTCCCATCTTCACTTTTTAATTTTCCTCTGGTTGAGTGAGAACGATAAACGACTGAAAACTTTCCAATAGTTATGTCGTGCAACACTGAACCAGCTCTCTGTAAAGCTGTTGCACTTTGCACATTTTGAAACAGCTTTAAAGCACATTTTAAAGCATTTTAAGTTGATGTAAGAAAAATGGAGAAGCAATTCTAAACCCGAACTAGACAAATGACTTTTGTTTTATTGTGACTGACTTGTTATCCCACTTGAATTGATGCATAAAGTAACAATGGCCATAAATAAGATGTAAAAAGATTTGATTAATTAGTTACTCAAAGGATTTCTGATGTTATTCAATGTTTTACAGTTACGATGTAACTGTTTCTACCCCTTATTTCAATAAAGCACCATACTTCAGATTTCTTATTGTGAAATAAGAAATCTGTATCTAATCTCATTGTCTTGGAACAACTAAGTAGGTTTTTTCATAAACTGATGCAATTATGGTGTTATGCCAAGATAGCAAAGCATGTCCTGTTCATTGTACAAATTTCTGTGTCTGGTTTTGGTTACTAGACGTCATTACAAAACTACTTCCTGTTGTCTTCTTCTTCATGGTTTATGCCAGTAGCAACATCCGGCTTTTGATCATGTGACTTGTGTGATGTGAAAAATGTATTTCCGTTGCAGTTTTGCAAAAGAAAACAATTTTGATATGACCAAGAAAAAAAGAAGAAGAAAGAAACACCACATTCTTACACCTGAACTCTTCATCAAAAAATGTGTTTTTTCCAAATTTGCAAATTCATTCTCAAAATATCAAGTTGGGCAATTATATAAGCAATAGAAACACAGCTACTGAGACAGAGACCAGATCTAGCAGCATTCGGTGGCAAGACTTTAATTTGATATTCAAAGACGATTTTCACATAATTCCACTATGTTTAAAGTGGAGTACAGAGAAGAAATTCACTCTGGGTTTATAAAGTCAGTGGAGATGTTGAGCAATCAGCAGCTCAAAATGCAGAAATAGATTTATTGATTTAGGAGAGCAGATAACAAAGGCACTCCTCACTTTTCTGATTTGTAAGAAATGTTTGATAATTTTCCTTCCACTTCGCATTTATGTCTCAACCTGTGTCTGTGCACCCTACATGATCCAACTAAATTACGTTTTTTGTTGGAACAAGGAAAACCATGCTGAAAAGGTCAAGAGCTATGAATATGTAGCCACATTGGCCCACAATAGCTTGTTTTCCAGAAGGTGTTTTCAGATTCAGATGAATATAAAAAGTTACTGGCAGCTGATTTGAGTCAGAAAATGTCAAACTGATTAACTTTCTAAAATGATCAACATACTAATAATGTTGATTCCTCTATCATAACAGAATAAAGGCCCACTTTATTCTGGTGTGTAATAAAATAAAGGTTTTCTGGAGGTAACGATTTTAATCCAGCAGGATTTTCAACTTTTAGTCTGGACTGGTTTTCATTTTCCTTCAGCGTACTTATTCACAAATGTACATCAACTTGTTGTCTGCAAACATAACTCAGTAATCTTAAATTAGATGGCAACTGGTTTGTTGGGAAAACTACTTTACAATTAAATTCAATGACATGTTTTCTATGTAGTTTCTACAGATAAGCACAAAACCAGCCTGAAAAATAGGAAAAGTGAGGCAGTGTATTAATCTTGTTGCCTTCAGGACTGTAGGGAATTTCCTTCCTGATGTTTGACTGGCTCAGTGTTTTTGTTTTCATTCAGCCACCCAGCGTTCAGCACCGGTCATGCTGCTCCAACTTCAGCAAATACACACACACACACACACACACCCACACACACACACACACACACACACACACACACACACACACACACACACACACACACACACACACACACACCCACACACCCTCCATCGCCCCCCCCTTCACACACGCACGCATTCTGCCTGCTGGTGAAGTGAGACTGAACCAGACAGGAAACAGTACAGCTTCATTTCAAAGTTGGTCACTTTCATCTTTAAAGATTAATATCGCACCTCTTCAGTTAGCATGCATGCACAAATCTTTTCCATATTAAAGACAGCATCTGTTTGTTTTTTATTCTAATAATTTGTCATGTTTTCAAAGCTTTCTCTATGTATTGTATCTGAAGTGAAAGCAGTAAGTGAACCCATCCAACGTCAGAGGCGCTGCAGTTTAACTTCTTACAGTTCGAGATTGGATCAGAAAACAGACCAGTGTTTAAACCGGGAACATTTCCAAATAGGGAAGGGACAAATTTTATAATGCCTATAAACAATTGGAGGAAAGACTGGAAAATGTTTGCTTGTACGAGGAGTTCCCTGCTCCCTTGGCCTTTGGTCCATCAAACATCAGGCAGCACTGGATCATGCAGATTAGGGAGAAGAAGAGGGACTGAATTCTCTACGCACCTAAAAATCTGGAAATCCGTTAGGACTGTTTTAACTTTGCAGAAGTCAGCTGTGATTTCTCCCGTGGTCAGGAGATCCAGCATCACTTGACAACTTGTGAGGCTCATCTGCCCACATTCTTCTGTCTTTTCCCAAACAGCAATCTGAATGAATCCAGTATCTGAATCCAGTTTCTGAAACGCTCCATATTTAACCTTTGTCCGTGAATTCGGACAAAGGTGACATGTCATGAGGCGTTCCGTAAATTCGGACAAAGGTTAAAAACTTATTTGGCGGCCATGAGAACATCATGCTGCCTTGCCCCAGACGTAGCTCTCCAATGCATTGGGTGTATTTGGAAGACCGCCATACTCCACATGATTTGATCATCGTCATGAACTGAGTTTGAGGAGCACATGACCATTGGAAAGAAGGAATGTATGAATAATGGATTGATGGTCGTTGGTGTGTTTGAGTGTGACAGGACTGAATTAAGACGTGTGGAATGACTTGGACTGAAATAATATTTTTTTGTTCACTTGATTGCTACGGATTAGATTCTCTTCTGCCTTTAAATCTGATTCAGTTCTGTGGCTCTGCTGGACTAGCAGCTGCATTTTCCATGAAACATAAAATGACAATAAATGAAGTTGTCCAATAGTTTTGATGTTTTGTTTTTGTTGTTTTCAGACATTGTGCAGCTGGCTCCATAAGAGCTCTCATCACATCACACAGTTCATCAAAAAGTTTGTGTAATTATACATGTTTAATTCATAACTCTTCTGTGAAAATGCTGACTACAATTTTCCCAAAAGAAGGCACACGTCGCCGCTCCCAAATGGGGGCTTGTCACTCCAACCCCTCTTTAAGACGCTGACGTCTCCTCTGATTGGCTGAATTATGAACGTACCTCATGTAACTGTTTACGTCTGTCGCTTCTGTGATTTTTAAGGACTTAACCCATGAACAAACTTATTCACATGTGATCTTAACAAAATTTCTTACTTAATGGAAACGCCGCAATTACAAAATTAGTTTTTTCAACAGATATTTCTGCACATTTGCAATGGAAACAGTTGCTGATGGAAACATTTCTGGCACTGATGACAAGAATGTTCCTTTCTGGCGCATCCCTGAAGTGTTGCGCTGGACTGAGATCTGGTGACTATGGAAGGTCCCTGGAGTACAGTGAACACATTGTAATGCTCAGTAAACTACTTTGATATTATTGGACCTGCGTTGCATGGTGCCTTTTTTTCTGCTGGTTTTCATCTTGAGAAATTGTTCCACTGCGGTCATAAGGCGATGGATATGGTCAGCATCAATACTCATGATGACTGCAGGACATAATGGGTTCTCAGGAGGTAATGAGAGGAATAAAGTGTTTCAATAATCAAACTGAGCTGTTGATCCCAGGCAGGCATCAGTCTGGGGTTTTGTTTTCTTTGGATGCTGTTGGAGTTGAGGCTTCATCGTCCTGTTGGTATTCTAATACTTTGGTCCTAATGAATACCGGCCGACTTCACTACATGTAGATCCCTTAATTCATTTTGTTGATCAATTATCATCGGTGGCAAGTTATGGTGGTTTGAATTGTATGTTAGCAAACAGATGAGAAGGCGTTCTTGATAAAGGAACATCAACAGATATACTCACATTTGTACGGTATTTCATACATTTCATACATATTTCAGATGAATGTGTATTTATCACAAAACGTGTCCCCACGTTTTGCGATAACAGCATGCAGGACAAGTAGATTTAATTCCACAAATCGCTCCATCGTTTCACACCACATACACCAACTTCTGTGTGTGGATCTGACTTTACTCGTTTTGAATTTGCATATGCCTCAATCCGTTTAAAAGGGAAAATGTTAATTTTGGGCTTTCCGCACAATTTATAAATTAACCAAGTCAACAAGTTGTAATAACTTAAAATGTATAATCAATTGATTTGTATGATCTTTTTGATCCTTTTATTGCTCTGCCTCCCCACCCCCCCACCTATAGTGTTTTCCTTTGGGAAACACTATAGGTGATATCCAATTTGTCTGTAATTATAAAAAAAATTATTTGATATGCACAACGTTAAGGGATGAAAACAAAATTCAACGGGCTCTAGCGCATGGAGTAAGAGTAGGTTGTGCATCAGCAAGTGAATGGTGAAGGACAATAAATGAATGAATGAATAAATAAATAATTAAATAAAAGGCTTTTACTTTGAAAGGCGTGACCGGAAGCCAGAGCGGCTCTGACTCTTAAAAAGCGTAGAGTGACGGTCTCGCGACAGCTTCTCTGACTGATGCAGTGAGCGGGTCAGAGTCGGAGCGGCTCCGCGGCTCAGAGACCTTATCGCGTCATCCGCGCAGTTTCCAACTCAGCGGAGCAGGGACGACCGGCAGCCCACGGGTGGACACTAAACTTTGAAGCGGGATGACGTCCGAGCGATGAACACAAGGTGAGTTACAGGGGCAAAACATTCTCTGTACTTTTCCTTTGAATTATTCCAACTGTAGATGAAAGACACGAAGAAGACTGAAGTGTGTTTGTTTGGCTGAGTGATGTGTTATTGTGGCTATGAAGAGTTTTCCTTCTGTAATTCAGACAGAAAGGATGACATTTTTTTTCTCTATATATTAATACCATAATACTTTTTTGATAACGAAAAAGTTTGGATATTTTTGTTGGGGCTTTTTATTTTTATTGTCATTTTTTATTTTTATTTTTTAAAGATGACCTATAAAAGCTCCATTGTGATTTAAACCCTATGGGAACTGGAACCGTGTTGAAGTGGAAAACCTTCATGCGTGATGAGCCACAGTGTGATGACAGGTGTCATCTTCATCCTGAGACTTCAGGTCTCTGTGTTTGTTTCCTCTCCTGCTGGGCTCTGCAGCTGACCATCAAGGCAATAAAAAATATTAAATAATGTACGAATGCGTGTATTAAAATCCCAACACTATTTGACTTTAAAGTGCAAAAGTCTCATGAAAAAAGTGGAATTTTGCACAGAAAACCAAGAGAATGAAAGAACTATGTATTGCGCACTGCTGGTCAGCTGACTGAAAGATGGTCTCTGCATGTTTCTGTTGCTTCCAGGAGGAAAGATTTAGTTTCTCATGATGAAACAACCACATGAACTCGTTTTAGATTGTTTTCAAAATTCTCCTCAAGCTATTTCAAGCTTTGATTGATCATTTCCACACATGCAAGTGATCAAATTTGAAGCGCATCTAATGGTGACAGTTGTTGCCTGATTTGGCCCATTTGGATAATAAATCCTCATTTGTATGTTGTTGTGTTACTGATCTCTACTTAATTTTTAATCGAGTCAACTGAGTCGCCCTACCCAGCTGTAGGTTCTGCAATTAATGGATCAAAAATGAATCAAATTTGAATTAAAAACCACACATGGACAATAAAATGTTTTTAATTCAAAAAGTCCCATCTATTGAGAAAATAAAAATGCATAATTTTTATGCAAAAGAACCTTTTTACTGCTACATTACTGAACAGTCAGCTTGGCTGTTGAATTTTTGTCAAAAATATATCGATGAACCTTTTTCACTGGTAATTATTAAATAAATATGAGTTGAACATGCTTTTATATTCATTCAGTTTTGAAGTGTTTCAGAAAGCCTGGATTGTTCATGAAACTTATTTCGAAATGTGGACTGTAGATGGCGTCTGCGCTGGTGACAAATTAAGATTCTACAATCAGAACAAAGGCAGGACATGATCAGAAACAATGAAATTGTTTAACATATATATGTTAGCATATATATATATATAATATATATGTCTTTAATATTGTTAGTTATTTTTGATTTGCATTATTATTTTCATATTCTCTAATATTCCTTGATTAATCAAAGATATTAGATCAGAATTGAAAAAGACCAAGAGAGAAAGAGAATGAATACACAGACAAGTAAATAAATAAAAATAAACACCAGAACATGGAGTAAGTAACGCATTTACTGACGTACCAAAAAAGCGACTAATTTCACAAAAAAAATAAATAAATTATCGTGACGCATTCAAATTTATGTAATTAATTAAACTATAGCCAAGAGCATGCAGTGAGAGGTTAAACTTTAACACTAAAACAAGCTACAAGTGGCTTGTCTGTAAAGGCTACCTGAGCAGAAAGACGAATTACTAGTAAATCAAACAATGCCAGTTTGTTCGGAGCAGTAAGTTCTAATAGGTGAAAATATGTGCTGAGGGTCTTACAATGTTGTACTTGTCGTGCTCCTCAACTCCACAAAGGTTACGGTTGGAAACATGGAAGAGACGGCGTCTGGTCCTCGCGGAGCAGAAAATGTATTACCTGCCCCGTAAATGCAACCTCTCCTATAGCAGACAGAGACGTTTTTCAAAAAGCAACTTTTGGAAGAACAGAGTCTGCCGCCTGAACCTTTCACACGAGATGAAATAACCCTTTAAGACTGTTAGATTGTGGCGATCACGTTGACACAGAACTGATGGACGGCAGACGGCTGTGGGGATGGGACGGTATGCGATTCTTCCAGGGTGATTTAAAACAGCATGTTCTCAAGGTATTAACACACAAATTTCAAGTCCAGGTCCTTCATCCAGAGGTCTGCTGATAGCAGTGAACCTTCTAAGATGAAGTGATTCAATCTGTCAGAGCTCTGAGTTTGATTAGTCTGTTCTTAGAGGTGTCTGCAAGATTAAGACGTAGCTGGATAAGAAAACGGTTTTCTCTAATCTGAATTCTTCTGTTGGAATCAAAAGTAATGACGCTTTCAAAGATACATGAAGCAAAGGATTTTGTTGATACTGAACACTCCTTCTGATTTTATACCTTAAATATTCTAACTGATCACTAAGCAATGCGTGTAACTGGATGATTCACAGAGTAAATATTTTGTTTGTCAGGAAAACACAACCACGTTTGTGCTTTAAAATAAATAAATAAATTAAATAAAATAACTGCCCAGCCAAAATAATCATCAAACTGATTTCATCAAATTCAACTATCAGCAATGTGTTATAGCCCAATGCATGAGCAGCCTTTGCAATCCTTCTACCTCAGCACTACCTCATACATGGGGAACAATGCAAGGATTAATTGAATACATTTTAAATGATGCCCAAGACCTCACGGATTATTTTGAGATGTGCTTAGAGCTTGGATTAGTTGGCATTCCTAAACAAATCTTCATTCGTTGGGACTATAGAGATCCGGAACCGAAATGAAATCTGAGGTTTATCACCTACCAGCTACAGAAGAACAGTGCTGACGTTTGTTTTTGTGTGTGTGTTTTTTTTAAACACAGACATAAACTCAGTGAATCTGAAGCTCTGCACCAGCACAGCTCGCTTAAATCCAACAACGGCTTCACCGGTTTGGTCCAACATGTAAAAACAACTTTCAGTCATTCTGTCAGGGCAAGAGGGAGAATAACAGCCGATGGAAAATAAATAATAAAGAAACAGAAACTGACAGAAACAACAGGTTGACTACCTTTGGTCAAACATGTAAAAAATAACCTGCAATAACCTTCTTTCAGATGGTTTAGAAAGTGCCTTTAGGAACTCTAAATATAATGTAAAAAATAAGAAGACATCACGTCACTCAGAGCACAAAGCGTAGAATTAGACTTAATAGATCTGCCCTTCTGGACAGCTCTGTGTGTGGGGTAAGGAAAGCTAAGGTTGACCCTATTTTTTCTTTTTCTGAGGTGGTTTGTTGTGCATTGACAACACAAGCCACAAAGGTTTCCCTCCTGGGTAAATGCTGCTGCCACCTGCTGTGTGAACCAGATGTGAGTCTGACCCAATCCGGTCTCTTCCCCGCTGAGAACGATTTCCTGTCTGTATCATAGGCTTTGAAAGACCAAGACCTTGTTACAGTTTGCATTGAACGACCTTCAGAGAGGCTGAAGGTCGTTCAAGAGCCCCTATGTGAATTCCATAGGGGCTCTTTTGCAGAACACAAGTTGTGTGAAGTAACAGCTGAATAGAAACAGTGTGTGATGCAACATACTTGTTTTTGTAGAAAACAGTAATTGTCAGCTGCTAAAATAATAAAACACCTTAATAGTTTGCCATAAAGTCGGCACAATCCTGGAGTGTTTGGGTTTTTCTTGTTTTTTTCAGTCTTTGTCTCCATATTTAGTTCAGTCTTGTGTTGTTATTGTTCAAAAGGTCTCGCCGTTCTGGTTGTGATACAGGCATTTCGTTTGATTCATCGTGGTCTTAAAACGTCTTTAATTTGAGCTGGTGAGACCTGCAGAAACCCTGGATGAATAACTTGGCAGTTTATGAGCTCAAAAACACTTTAATAACAATCCAATTAATTATTGGAGAACAGAGCAGGCTGTTCATTTATCGCTCGGCAAATAATCTTATATATACAAACCAAGTCTTATGTTAAACTTTGCAGTACTTATGCACATTTAAGCTATCAAACATTGTCATTGCTTCAAATGTAAATATTTCATTTTATAAATTAAACAAGAAATACATTTATGAATATAGTGGATTTATTAGCAGGATCAGTTACTTATTGGTTTATAGGAGTCCAACGTTGGAAAACATAACAACGTCCCCCAAAAACACTTTCACCTTGACTTAAGATTTATTAAGGCTGTTAGATAAGGCAAAAATAGAGAAAGATAGATGATATTATCCTGCCAATAAAAAAGATTGATCAGATAAATTAGACTGGTTATCTCAGCTCCTTGACTTGCGTAAAGACTTCCAGCCGCTGCGTTTTCACTCTCCTCTCTTTGCGTCTTGAACTCAGCCATCACACCGGCAAAACCTGAATCCAGAATCACCACTTTGCTTTTTCATTCCCTCTCCTCTGCCTTCAGTGACATTGAAATATTTGTTTCTATTTGTCACCAGCAACAGTAGCTGTTACCGCATCGTCCTTATAGGTGTTTGATAAGCTGCATTTCTGCACCAAGCTGTTAGGCAACCCCGCTTGTCCAGCTGATTCCCTCGTTTAAAGCCCACGTGTGTGGCCAGGCATTAACTCATTCTGACACAGACTAATTGATTCCACTGAGGGAAGGCTCTCTGTGTCCACAACTGTTGTCAACTTTGCATGGGTTTAAAATTGATATCTCTACTGTTGCATGACCTTTAAAACTTAAGAGACAATAATTAGGAAGGCAGAGATTAGTTATTAAGGTTGGCCGTTGTTTACGATTATGCAGGTAATTACTCCTGGGACTAATGCTTTTTTAATCAATGGCGTAACTGCAAAAACGGTTCATGTTTTTCTGTTGCAAATGTGACTGCCAAATCCAGATAATTTGGAAAGTTAATTGTGTAAACAAAGACATGCACTGGGTTGCACAAACAAAGAGCAAGAACAGATGATGTTAGAAATAAGTTAGTCTGAAAAATACAGGGCATCCGTAAGTCTTAAATTAATCAATGTAAAATTAACACCATAACATATCACGATAAAATTCGAAGTCCTTGTACTTGGATCTCTTGATTGGCATCCAGTCTGTTCACACTTACTGTCTGTCAAACCGATTCAGGAGTGTAAATATGATGAACCTAATTAACACTGCGGTGACCTTTTAGCCTTTTGTCTTTGGCTAAAGCCTTAAAATACACCTCACCCATTTCAGAGGTGTCTGTGTTTTAGTTTTTAATCACCCTGAACTTTAACTGCCCTTTCCCAGAGTTGCACAAGAGTTATGTGACTCTGCTCACTTTCATACGTATGATTAAAAAAAACAAGAAAAAAACAAGCTGTTGTCCCAGTGTAAACTTTTCTTCTGCCATTTTAAAAAGTGAGAAATTGCACGCCGTTTTCTCCTGGTGTCACTTTGACACTTCAGACTAAACTGTGTGAGTCATTCACCCTGAGGGTTTGGGCTTTAATCGTCATGATGAAATTGACGAGCTGGCATATAAACTTTTCTGACACATGGAGAATTTATCTCTGCATCTGTTAGTGCCTGTCTATGGAGGACAGACACTGACAGAAATATTTAAACGGCCCAATAAATAAATCAAAATGTTTAAAATGCAACAATTCATTTTGAAAACTGTGAATCTTACCTGACCTTAAAATTTTGTTGACATTCATATTTAATTGTGTTCCAACAAATTATATATTTAAGCATGTAAAATAAATGTTGCTGTTTTAAATGTATTGCTTTATGTTTTCCCATTTACTTATTGATGCATTTTGTCTCCTAAATTTTGTTTTTCCTCACAATTCTTATTATGTGTTCTTTTTACATTTTCCTGTCTCCTATTTTTACTGTACCTGTAATGATTTTTGCTTCATTTTGTAAATAAAGAGGATTTATTTACAAAATGACAGGGCATCCGTAAGTCTTAAATTTAAGACATCAGCTTAAGACATCAGCTTAAAATGATGGTTGCTTAGAATTACGTTACAGAGCGGAAAGCATCCTGGTTAATCCAACCAAAACAAGGGCTAGCGGGAGAAATGGCTTGTGTCTTCAAGCCTCCAAAATCTGGCTTATCCTGAATGCTTAAGACTGTAACTCGAAGGTTTTTCAAATATCCAAAATAACGAATTAATAAAACTGAACTGAAACCACTTGCAGGCAAAACACAATTTTTTTTTTTATATATAAAATCATCAGCTCATTTGAATCCATCGTGCGATTCATTGATTTATTGATTATTGTGACAGACTGAGGAAAACTGTAAATAGAATTTCCATTCACCAACACTTTGATATAAGTAAGAAACTCTAAACCTATTGGCAAACATCAGCTGTGTGGGAATGTTCACAGCATTGATGGTCCGATGTTGAGATGTGAGGAGGAATTTGGCCGAAGCGCTTACGATGAGCAGTACTTCACTGCACTGCGATCACATTGGATACGTGGCAATAAATGAACTGAAAGAAGAATGTTTGATTCATCTTGTGATCTCTCGGTTTAATCTTGGATACACACAGTTTAATAGAGCAGATTCTAATCCTGCCCTGGGGTCTGATCAGTACTTTACCTCTCCATAGATGCTTAGTGTTTCCCTTGCAAGTAAACAAACTGCATGTCTACAAATTGGTTAAAAATGGACTAATTTCAATTTCTTCCTTTATGCATTTGTGGTGATTAAAGTGCTGTTGGCTTCTGGTTGGGCATGGACGAGTCTTTATTTGTTTGCAGCTCTGTTGTATTGCAGCAACAAGGTTGGAATCCAGGAGTCAACAGTAGCTGCATATCTGTTGACAATATAATTGCACAAACTGTAATTACAAAGATACATTTGCTTTATGGAAACACAGCAATTAAAAAAATAAATAAATAAAACAGTGACAGGATGAGGTGTTTTTTTTTTGGCCGTATCAAAATGAGTGTATGAGGCAAAACTGCTACTACTGGCGGAAAAGACGAAGACGACCACAGGATGTTGTAGAAAGAACTACGTTTAAAAAAAAAAAAGATTTATTATGTGAAAAGTTCCCAGAAAATGTTCAACTTTTCACACTCATTATTTTCCAAGTTTTGTCTAAAAAAAATGTCTGAGATTAATCTAAACCTTCCAGAGTTCTTTCTAGCAAATCTTCAGCTTTTGGAGCACAAAAATGTCTTTGCTTTTTCTAGAAAATTTCTCAGATTGATCTAAAAGTTTCTATGTTTTTTGCAGTTATTTACTCCTCCCTTTTCTTTTATCTACGCTGTTATAGTTTTGGCCTATTTTGGAATTCAGTCTATGTTTTTTAATTATTCTAGTTTATTTTTATGAATTGGTCATACTTTATTGTTTTTCACTGTTATAGTGTGTAGATGTTTATGATTGTGTTACTGTTAGTGTTTTTTAAAAATGTTTTCATTAATTTGTTGCCTTTAATTGTGGTATCTTTAAACTTTTAAACCTTGGGGTTCAGCACATCTCCAGTGTTTCTTCATTACAGACAGTAGGGACAGTGTCTCCATGTGTTGCCGCAACTGTTTGCAGGTCCACAGACAATCAAGTTAATTCAGCTCTAAAATGCTTTATTAATCCCAAAGGGAAATTAAATAGTCATGCGAGGTCCTTCTGTTTCAAGGGGTACGGGTGCATAAGCATGATTGACAGGAATAAGACCCTCCTCCTTGAAGCAGTGTTTGTCTGCTGATGGAAGGAGAACCACAGGGAAGAGGCAGAGAAGCTGGATTTTTTCGCAGATTATCTGTCTTATATACTGTCAGGACATTTGTCAGAGTTTTAACAAATGTATAAAAATCATATTGTTATCAAAGTTACAAACTGCAGTGTCCAAATACTTGGAAAGTTTTTTTTTTGCAACATAACAAAGAAAAAGATGCAAGGTATTCCCTCCAATTCCTGGAGAGCCATGACTAGTACTATTTTTTTGTTTTGTTTTGTTAGGCCCAGTAAACAAATGAAAATTGGACTTTATTTACCCTGATTTCCTGTCTAACGCTCAGACAAACCTTATTTATGCCATCCTCGGTGAACCATGTGATCCACCCCAACCTCCTTTTCAATCAAGTTTTTATGTTTTTCAGACAGAAGTCAATGACGTTAAGACACAGCCGAATGAAGCCAGACTGTTGCAGCATTTCTTTACTCCCAAGTCAGCCGTTTTTCCTGTCTGCGTCGTAAATTCAAAATGTCTAAAAGCGGTGTTTGTCCTAAGCTGCTGCAACAGTTGTCTTAGACTGGTGAAGTCCGATTTAGCGAATGATGCAATCTTCTTCACAGCGACCTCCTCTGACCCCCGTGTTTTCACCAGGAAGGAAGCGCTCATTCCACCTGCATCCTCTGATTTCACGTCCCCTATGTTCGGAACATCAAACTCGTTTGGAGCCGACGGCTCCCATTTTACACACCTATGTGGCTAAATGGAAAAGTTTCAGCGTTTCAGGTCAACGCTGGTCTCAGCAAGACATTGGTCCAGTACAACACGCTATGATAAGTTTTCAGGCTTACAATAGATGAACCTTTCTATATGACAGAATAATGAGATGTGAAAGTCTGGAGAGTTTGGGAGAATTTTTGAGCAGCTCTTTTTAATGGCTTTTTGAGCAGCTGTTATCGAGGTACTTTAGCTCAGATTTGATCATTTAACAATGGATATAAGATCCTCCTGATACAAGATCACTTCCACCAGATGCCAATGAAGAGCAGCTGCTCACTGGCTTTACTCATCTTTACCTTGTTGCTTTTCAACTTAAAAGTGCAACCATGACACATACACCATATGGAAACACATACAAAACATATTGCACTGACTTAGACAGTAAAAACTAATTTTACTTTGTTTAAATGTGTATCTTTTTCTTTTGTGGAAGAAAATGTGAAAGCACCCGTCTTGCAGTCACATCTATACAATCCAGTGTGTGCATAGAAGTAGAGCAACACCGATCTGATATTAATATCTGCATTGGCACCGATACTGAATGTACCCAATCCATAAGAGCGGATATATTTTGTTTAATTTTATATTTATATTATACTGCATTATATTTTAAATTTCAAATTACACTGCATGAATCACTTGGAAGAAGGTTTGTTACCCTATATTTGTACATGTTTGTTTCTTTCATTTTTCTTTTACATTGGCTGTTCTGCGAATCACACTAACTGAACAAATTCAAGTTGTGTTGTTTTTACATGTTGAACAAGTTTGTGAAGCCTTTGGTGCATTAGAGTGTGCTGTACTCTCCAGGGTTATTAAAGAAATTTATAATTCAGTACGTTTATGCCTGTGATTTAAAAAAAAAGCATTTTAAGTCAATTCTGTTATTTTTCTGCAGCGGATCGGAATTATACGATACTAAACTTCAGATATTGGTATCGGCATCAGAAGTGAAAAAAGTGAATCGGTGCAGAACACCAGTTTAGCAGTCATTTTCTGTTTCGCTGCAAATTGTCCACTATTTATTGGTACTTGTGGCATCAGATTGTTTTTGCGCCGGTTGTTTTTTATTCAGATAAGGAAAGACAGACTCATGCACCGAACTATGAAGCAGAGCCAGAACAGGAAGTGTTGCTTTTCTGCAATGCTTACCTGAAACCTCGTGTCTTTGTGAGCCGTTTTCTATTTAAGGAAGCTCTTCTATTGTTTCAACCTTCTTCCTTTCACTTCACAGGACATTCCCCACTGATGGCAGTGATGGAGAACACAACATGGCCATACCCTGCATACGTCCCCCATTATCTCCTGCGTGGTGACCCCTTTGCTTCGAGGCTTTCCAGAGAGGCGGACATTATTGCGGCTTTTTACATCTGCATCATAGGTGAGTTTCCGTATCAGCCAACATCCACCTCAGCACTGCTTTCACATTTCTTGTCATTCCACACATTGTACACCTCTCAGCAAAACTCTTTAATGTTTGGGGTTTATTTTGGTGAATGTGAGTCTTTCAGTTCCTGGAAAATTCCACCCAAACAAAGCAGTGAGGGTGTGTAAAATATGTCACACCCTCACTGCAAGATCGAATATTACAGTTAAAGTATTAAAACTAGATAAATTAGTACATAATGTCATATAATTAACAGCTGTAGTTAAACTCCGGTTGGATTAGTTTGTTGTTTAGTAAAACTTAAGGAAATAAGTGCACGCACACATGCATATAAAAAATGTGAATATTGCCTAAAATGCAGTATTTCTTGCCAGTCATTTCAGAAAGTGAATATTATAGAGATTCATGACGCAGAGTAAAATATTCCAAGTTTTTATTTTTTGAAATTTTAATGACTCTGGCATACAAGTAAAGATGGCTGTCTTGAGCACTATGACCTGTTGTTTGACTTATTGCATCAATGTGCTGTGGCATGGAGCCCAGGCTGCTTTGATAGCTGCCTGGCTCATCTTCATTTTTGGGTCCACTGTCGCTCATTTTCCTCTTGACAAAAGCCTAAAGATTTCCTATAGGTTAAAGGTCAGCAGAGTCCCCAGGACTATAAAGAACAGGAACATCCTGGTCATTGAATCAGGTTGTCTATCTGAACTCTGTTTTTTTTTTTTTTTTTTGTTTTTTGCCCTCCATACAAGGCCTCCTTCACATTATTTTTTTGTTTTCCTTCTGGCCCTCCTTTTGAGGCCCCTGTGCCCACCTGGTTTGGGTTTTGTTTTGTTCCCCCTACCTAGACTCTTTGGGGAATGGGTGGATGTGGGGGACTTCCATGATCTGTAGATGGTTGAACTTTAGTTTCTTCTGTATTCTTGTAAATTGGTCTTCGGTAGATTAGTGTTCCTTTCTATCTAGCGTTTATGTTCACTTCAGTTTTTTTTTTTTTTTTTACCTTTCATTTAAGGTTTTCTTACGTCTCGGCGTTGTTTATCTTCCTCTCCTCCAGAAACCACAAGTTTCTGTTTTTAAGCGTATTTGGTACTTTACTATATCAAGTATAACAGCAGTGTCTCACGGAGTAATGTTCTGAGAGTATGCTGACTTCTATTAGCAGTCAGCAAGAAAAATATACAATGTGCTGTCTATTAGTCTGATCCAACAAAGAGAGCATTAGGCAGCTTCACCCAAAAGTTCTGCAATAGTGTTTTGAAAAAACTCTACAGGTGAAGATTATTATTTTTTTTAGGTCTAATCTAACCTGTGCTTTGGCTTTATGACCGGGGAAAAAGGTCCAAAAAGTAAAAAATAAAAAAAAACGTAAAAAGTCCAAATGGATCATTTTCTGTTGGCAGAGCGGTGAGTCTCAGTTTTTGATCGCAAAAACAAAAGAATATCGGACGCTCAAACATCGACTCTAAAAGCTTCTCTTCATCTTCAAAGGTTCCAAGTCTTCATCGTGAACAGTGAGTTGAAAGAATGTTCATGCATGGATTGGTTCTTCATAACCGGTTCAACTCCAGCTGATTAGACAGCAAACTGGAACAAATTGTTATTTTTTTTTAAAGTACTTTTTGGCTCTAGTATCCTTTAAAAGTGCTTACACAAAACGTAGGTAATGAGAGAGAGGAAAGACATGCAGCAAAGGTCACCAGGGATTCAAAAGGCTTCCTCATGTGGGTTGTGCTTGATTCCTGTGCCACCACAGGACCATGTGTATTTGTATTTCAGCCTTAATAAATAACAAACTACCCCCATAAATACTAATTAATGCAAAGAATCTACATGTGACTAATTTATTCTCAGTTTAAACAATACTTAGAGTATTGACTGAAGAAGGGTGTTAAAGCTTTTGTCTTAAGGGTATTTCATAAAAGCAAGGTTTTTCACACAGGGGGTAAAACACACATCAAGGTGTTCTATCTAATGTCTGAATCAATGACAGAACAAGAATAACTGAGCTGCTGCACACGCTGAAGTCTTTTAGCTAATGGACTGAAAGACAGTCTGCTGATTTGTCTTCATCTCCCCTGGAATGTGAGTGCGCTGGCTTTGATTTATCAGGTGTGTTTTAATGTCCATCAGTTTAATCAGCCATCTTAGTTAACCTTTTAGACATTAACATTCCTCAGATCAGCGTAAAAACAACAGCAAAAAAGAATATCCTTCATAGAAGCAGACGACCTTGATGCACTTCTTGCAACTTTATGGACGCATGTGAAGCGCTAACAACTGACTGAAACTGACACATTCTTTTGAAACAAATGCGTAATAAATAAGCAGTGTAGGGCATCGTGACAACTCTGGAGGAGCTGCAGGGATCAACAGCTCATGTGGAAAAAAAAAATTTTTTTTTGAGATCACAATAGAGTTGAGCTTGAGGGTACTAATGCATTTAGGATGACTGACTTCACAATCAAACAGAGATTTTATACAATACCTAAAGTTGGTGTTTGGGATAGTCTCCAAATTAAAAATACAAAAACATCAATATGTACTTCCTGTTTGCAGATCTGAAGGTTTGAGGATTTGGAAGTTCCTCTCTCTCTCCTCATATCCTGTCCGCATTCCATTAGTTATTATCTCAATATAGCAGTGAGGTCTGCAGGGTGGCTGATAGAGAGGAGATTCAGCTTGGTGCTGCTCTGTTGTGTAACCACAAAAAGCACATTATTAAATCTCAATTAGCGAGTTGTGGAAGGGAACGGCTTTTGAAGAAGATAGCTTTGTTTCAGTGGGATGAAGACGTCAGCCGTACAAATAACTACACTACGAAACCACCAACAGGCTCCACTGGCCAATGTTTGTGGAGGAGGAAAACTGGGACAAATGGAATATGTTCTGATAACATCTGCTAGACGTCTCACAGGGCCCAGAGGGCATTAACAGTATCGCAGCACGTGTTTAAGATAGAGAAAACCCTGATATTAATACACTGTTCAGTCCAACAGACACATTAAATCTTAAACACTGGAAGAGGTTAAAGCTGACACCAGGTGAGCAAGTTCACCAAAAAACATCCATCCTTTGGACATCTTGTGGGTTTTGCACAGTTTGGTTGAGGTGGACGATACAAGAAAACAAAATTAAGTTATTTTTCTGTATTAAAGCTGCCACATGTAAATTTAATTTAAAAAAATATATGTTCTTTACATATTTGTTAAAATTATCATTACGTCTTGACAATTTAAGACAGACAATTTGTGACAAAGTCTAACTTTACTGTCTTCTCCCATTGCTCCCAGTACTGACTGCAGAAATACACCACTCAGAAACAACCAATCAGAGCCAAATATTTGTGTTGCTTTGGTGGAAAAAAAAAAAACTAATCAAAGTTGTATTTCATAGGATTCAAAATTTTATATCTCAAAAACAAAATGACCCAAAGAGCTTTGTGAAGTTATTTTTTTAAAAGTCTATTAAAAATATTTTTATGACAGACTCTAACATTTTATGTTTCCGTGGCCACAAGAGAACCACTAAATAAGGTTACCCAACAGGGTTAGTGCTGTAGCAATAATAGTTTGCTCACCAGTTGCTGATAACAAAATAAGCTTTTGTATCTATTACTGGTTAGACCGTCTCCAAATTAACAGAGTGTAACGTAGTGTCTCACTTTTGCTTGAAGGCCATCAGGAAGATCACATGATGAGCAGTGAGAGCCAGCCGCAGGTCGAAAACCTCCAATATTAAAAAATACTGAGAGATGACCAAGGTCTTAATGTTGTATCGCACTTCTTTATATTTAATGTAACTATTAGTGAATGTTTATGAGTCTGATAATCTCAACGCACTTCTGAAATAAATTTGTTCGCAAATATTGTGGGTGGAATATTTTTATTCACATTAGTTTTAATTTCTTGTTTTCACAGCAGTTAAGATGACTCTGGAACCCAAATAATTTATTATGTAATCATGTTTTTTTTGTAGAAAAATGAAGATTTAGTCTTTTTTATTACAATTTTTTAATGATGGAAAACACAGAAACACATGAAAAAAACACCCCAAGAAGTAACATTTTAGGTCATATTGGTATTGAATAATAACTAACATAAATTCACACAGGTGAAAATACCTTGTTAACTATCAGATTATTATCAAAATAAAATTATGATAAAATGCAATTTTTGTTGACATGTGCTTATGATTAAAACACTATTACGCAGCATTTTGAATGAAATGTAAACATCAGACGTTCTGCTCTGTGTGCTGCTGACTGACAAAATGCAAAGTTCACTCACTAACCTGTTAAAGTTGGCCCCAAAAACACATGCAAGTTTCTGAAAAAAGTCTCCAAAAACATTAGAATATCACTTTTGGAACAACATCACACTTTTCTTACTGCTGATGTCAAAACAACTGTATATTATCTTCGATGGAGCGTGAATTATAGCTAAGAAAAACACAAATATATTGAAGTTTACCAGAAATGAGGCAGACAAAGTCCAGGTCCTCTGGAATAATGTTCTTATAACTCCAGAGGACTAATAAGAACACTATTATTTGTGAAAATCTGAATTATTTAAACTGCAGAACAGAAATCGTGTTTGGATCTAGCAACCTGCTTAAATAAGGGATTTTCCACATCTGATAGTGTTGTTGGCTCTCTTTGATTGGGGGTCGAAATTGCAACATTTTGTTACATTTTCAGCTGTTGTAGTTCCCTTTGCGCTCCACTGTGTCAAACTGTCCAAATCTTTTGAAAAACCCGTTCCCTACCGTCACACATGGTGGCGCTGCACCAGGAACCTCTGAGAGAAAATTACACAAAAAGCTCTGAGGACGACACTGAGGGAAATTTCCTTCTTCATGAAATGACTGGTGTCAGATTTTAGCAGTTGCAGGTTTTGACTTTTGTCTTTGGCAGAAGGCCACCAGTCATTGCTTGCTTAGGTTACATTTAGCCAGAATGTTATATTCTCCTGTCTGCTTGGTGGTCACATATGCATTCAAACAGAAGAAGTGTTCACTTCAACCAAACCGAGGTCAAGGTTTTTAGGTGGGACAGAGTTCGCTATTTAGTTATTTGTTCATCAGAGTTATTTGTACCAAATGAACCAGACTTTCTAGCCGAAGGAGTGAGAGTTTGACTGAAGCGGACCAAACAGGGCTGATGTGGAGGCGCCCAAATGAAGCAGGTTCAGCTGGTGTACATCCAACGAAAGCAGTCAAACAAAAGGCAAAACTGATTTCACAGTCAGTTCAGTTACTGTCAGAACCATTAGACAATTTGCTTGTCACTGTGAGGAGTTGACGTTCTAAAGGTCTACAGTTATCCTGCCTCACAAAAATCTTTTGTACTTGTACTTCCCAAGACACTTCTGAATCATGAGTCAAGCTCTAAAGCAAAATAAGTCTCACAGCAAGAGTTCAAATGACATCTGCTTCGTTGTGTCAGATGTGAACATCAGAAAAGTTTTCAGATTTCTTGTGCAATTTCTGTCCTCCGAGGTGCTGACACACTTAAAAAACCAAAGGTTCATGAGTCAGAGCAGAGATAAACTGAAGCAACCTTATGCAGCGTTATGACAGACCTATTTTGTAGAGAAAAGATTTACTGTTTCTGGTTTTTCTTATTGCTGCTAATTCGTCTTTGTAATATAACTCAACATCCGACAGATTGGGCAGAGAGCATCTGTGAATATCAGTTTTCAGTTCTTGGCAAAGACTTATTAGAACTTATTTTAGGATTTTGACTAGGCCATGCTGACACTTGAATAGACTTTTTTTTTCCTAAACACAGTCATAGTTATCTTTCTAGCTCTCCTCTTCTCTTTGTCCTGACCAGCTTTCTTTGGCCCCACTGCATGACACTTCCACCACCGTGTTTCATCATTGGAGTGGCATGCTCAGGGCTGCGTTGAGACTTGAATTTTGAAAAGTTACATTTACATAATTGCAAGGTTTAAATATACAGGCCAAAATCATTTTCAGATTTTTGTTTGTGAAAACATTTTAAAAACTCATTTATGCGTCATTTTGTCCTGGTTTGCCATGTAGCAAACCCAATAAAACCCACTGAAGAACCCATGTTCCAGTAACCATTCTGATGATTATGATTATTCATATTTTTGGAAGCGTTATGACAGACCTTATGAACTAATACAGCAAGACATTGAGCCAGATATGAAATACATTTTGTTTATCCCTATTATTCATCCAAGTAGGAGGACCAGGTTGGCAGAAGCGGAGGGGTTAGACGGTTCATGTCGTCTCAGAGTGTTTGTCTGTTTAACTTTCACATCGACCCACAGCCCAGCTTTGGCAGAGAGCCTCCATTCGCTATTATGTTCCTTCCTGGTGTATCATATGAGTACATGGGAATGGGGAGAGGTGCACAGTTTGCTCATTGTGGCAGTTATTAAATTAATTTCACCGCGTGTGCCCCTATATATGTGGTTTATTCAGTTAAAGGGATGTTTGTGCGGATCAAACTAGCTGAATGGGAAGCATCTGATGGGAAACAGCTTGGAGTTGAAGGCTAACCTGCTCAATCTGTGGGGAAGATGCTACAGGTTCAATTGTTTATTTTTGGACTCCATTAAAGCCACACGTCCACTTAACCTGCATGTGTCTGCTGGTGACGGTTAATGCGTTAAAGTTTTCCGGTGACATACAGGTGACTGAGGCCAGGTTGGCAGAGGAGTCGCCTGGCGGTGTGAAAGTTGTGGGTCGATTGCCACAAGTTTCCAGGTTGAGGTTGTGTTGTACAGCAGTGTTCTTCAAAGTGGGGGCCATAAAAGTTCACAGATAAGGGTAAAATGAGAAGAAAATGCAAAAAAAAAAAAAAAAAATAGAATCCATAAAGTTTTTACATCAAAAATTTAAGTATTTGTTTATTTTTTGTTTTTTATAGAATCTGATCTGTCTTTCCAATTGGCTCTCAGTCAAATTTATCAGGCTGCCTGGAAAACACATAATGCTGCCCCTTTCATAATTTAGAAAACTAAATTATGAAAAATAAAACATTTCTGTCGAAATATACAACCTGTCCAAATGATATTCAAATTGCATTTATACAATTAATTATGAAAAGACAAAATATAAAAAACACAAAATATATCAAGAGCCTTTAGGGATAATTATGTTGTTACTCTCAAGTTTTTAGCTACAAAACACTAAAAGACACAATAAAAACCTCATAATACTAAAGACTACAATCCAGTTCTCAGTTGGTGCTTCATAATATTTTTAGAATATATTCCTTTCATGTAACATAAAATGTCCAGATCAGAGCCATGCTATCCCCCAGACATCGGCTCAGTGAGGCTTTGCAGCTCCTTCGTTTGGTTTGTGGCTCTCTGGTTTGCTGTCAGGTCCCACTGGACTCATTAACATCCTGGTATTTTCAGGCGACAGCAGTGAGTAGGAAGACTTTGATCACCCTTTGTTCATCACCTGCCAACCACCGAAGCACAAATAGCCTCCATAACCAATTAGCATTAGGCTAATTAATGTCTTTGAGATACATACATAAGTATAAAATATTACAAGGCACAAAAAAAAAAAACATTTTACACGTTATGCCTCTCTAATATCACTCAGGTCCTTTGAAAAAAATAACTTACATTTAAAATGAAGCTTTATATATATGACACACTGCAAGAGAAACACAAATGGCATAATTATATTGTGTGTTATCTTTTCTCATCATTTCATGTATTTAATATGTGAAACCTCAGCATGACAATGAACCACCTTCCAGGTGAGGCTTGTACATAGCTGTAGTTCATCTCCTACTTCTTCAAAACTCCACTGTCCATCTAAATTGGTGTAATCTACTTTGCCTGAAGCTGGAAGAAAAAAAGATTGCCTCACAGTAAAGCTTTCTCTCTCTCTTTGACAGGAATCCTGTCTGCGACAGGAAATGGCTACGTCATTTTTATGACCATCAAACGCAAGACCAAGCTGAAGCCTCCTGAACTCATGATCGTCAACCTTGCCATTTTTGATTTTGGCATATCAGGTAACGAGAAACACCTGATACATGTGCCTGGTCCATGCTAACTCTTGGAGTTGATGAATGGAGGGTTTTGAAAGGTTATTGCATGTTTAGACATTCACTAAAACGTACACAGATGATTTGACATGTCTACACAGTTTTTTTAAACTACCTTAACAAAGTCAGGGCTTCTATCCTTTGGTCTGATCTTCAACTGACCTTCAGGCTCTCAAGCCCTGAATTTTTTTTTGAAGGAGAGTGGGCCAAATTTTCCCAGTGACAATGTAAAACTGATGGCAGCCATTGCCTCTCATGGTGGCAGAGCCTGTTATTAACTGTTAACCTGTTATTACCTTTTGAAATGGGCCCAAGTTGGTTTAGCAAAAAAGAAGAAATCTGTAAAGGAGGAAGATGTTTTCACCAATTCCAGAAAGCTTTTCTCGGAGAAAACCATCATGCTTGTGTTTTGCCAAAACATCCGATGACACATATTGCATCTCCCAGCTTCCATACTGTGCAGCTGATGAGCTGAGTGGAGACAGCTATGCACGATCATTTGCTGCACACAGGAAACAGAGTAGAATCATGGGGGCTCTGGAACGATGGACATTTCAGTCACAGGTAGAAAAGCCAAGCTAACGACCTAAACAATTTGCAACAGGCTGTTTGAAACAACAGGCTATTTGAAACAATCGCCTGTTTCAAATGAATTGTAGGAAAACCGAAATCACGTAAAAGATGAACTTACAACAAAAAAGTTTAATATAAAGGATAGATCCAAATTTATACTCTGTTAAATTGATAGATAAGCATGACTAAGATCAAAGATCTTTCTGGAGCCTTCAGAACAAAGATGGGTGCAGATTATGACCCTGCGAGGGGATATAAACAGGGATCAAAATAATTTGACCTGCCTGAATAATCTGGAAGACGCAATAAGGAGAGACGAGGGTTGCTGGAGACAGATTCACCGTGGACTCAAAGCTGACGTCCATTGGACACATTCATGCACATGTAAATGTTTACAAACACTTACACATACTTGTCACTGCCCAGCGATGTTCACATCAAACTGTTTTGGATGCAACACCAAGCTGATAAGATGGAGAGTCGCCAACACACACATCAGCCAGGCTGCCACAGCAGATGTGAGATGGCTGCCAATGTGGAGACGAGACGAGTTCAGATTTTTATCTTTATGAGACACAGTGGGGTGACTTGATCTCTCTCCTAATAATGAATTAACTAGAAGACATCAATTTAGGAACACTTCCTTCGAAAGAGCAGAATGTTTAATGGGCTCTGATCATTTTTCACGACTGTTTTTTACATCTATAATTAAATTCAACCTCTTTGTTGTAGATAAAAGGGATTAAACACTTTGTTACTTTACAAAGTTCTGCTGACTTCATGTGTTTCAAATCCTCCCATGAGCCAGAGAGCCTCTGGAGAGCCCTGACCCGGCCCGGGCTGCTCTGTGAAGTTCACAACATCATCCAGTTCTGGTTCACTTCCTGTCACAAGCCCTGCTGAAAAGTCCTGGATCTAATCCAACTTCCACTGACAGACGTTTAGGGAGCAGAGCGCTGGGTGCACTGGGATATCACAATGCCTGATGATTTCTCCATCAGATGACCAGCTGTCATGTTGTTTGCTTTATTTAAAACTTGCTCAAAGTAAGAGAATACAATGAGTCGTCTCCGTTCGCTCATCAAAAACGGTATCGACTGACTTACAGTCAAGTGTGACTTGCATATACTGTTTTCCTCTTCACAATGCACTTTTTGACTGACACATTAACTTTTAACTCACACCGACGGACATGAGACAAGGAGTAAACGTCACTGTTTGCAGCAGTGAGGAAAGATAAACGCAGAGCGGGAGGAACGAGTCCTCAGCTGGGTGTTTGAAAAATTTCCTCTTCGTGACAAATTTTTTAATCGATGGGACTCAGAGTTAGGAAAACGCAATACTTCTATAGCATTCACGATGTCGTGGTGTGGGAAGCATCCCCGTACGCTGATGTGTCCATGATGCCTCAGCCGCCGTGCTCCTCGGTGTTCTGTGGCTTGTGGTGTTTGGGGTTCGTGTGACAAACCACTTCTGACCTCCAACGGGGAAACATTCAGGATTGCAGATACAGATCGCTCTATTTGAACGACTTACAAAGCCCTGAAGAAAGAAAACGCCATGCACAGCCTGACCAGATTGTGTACATTAAGCCAAAGTGATTCAAAAATAACACACAAAAACACAAAAATGATTTATGTCTCTTTTTCAGTATAACATAACAATGCTGCTTGTGCAAACCTGCTGCATGCATCATCTGTGTCTGTGTCACATCAATGAGAGTTGAGCTCAAATTGAATTGCTTGTTATCAGTCATTTCTTTATGCTCATGAATGAAACATTTTGTCCCCTAAGGCTAAACTTAAACATTTGAGTAATGGTGCAGCAGTGGACTGTGGATGTAGTGAGTGAGAACAACTGGTCTAATCTGCTGCTGTTTAAAGGGAGATGAATGGAGACTGCAGCAGAAAGAAAGTCAAATATAAACAGGATGTTCAAAATGACTTCATCACGGCTGTCGCAGGGAGATAGATTGATGTCATTAGGCAGCTCGGCAACTGACAGCAGCCATCGGCGGCGGAAAGTGTTTCTGTTTGTCTTTTTCATCTCAGTTTTGTAAATCAGTTCAGCTGGAGGGAATTGCTGTCCTTTTTGCCCCAGACTAAAATAAACTGATTACTATCTCTTCAGTGACCACACAAGAGAAGTTTCCACCCACTCGGGAATTCCTTAAGTGATAGAATTACACACAGATGTCAGAAGGGAGAAATAACACGGCAGGACGATATTTTAGGCCACAGAATTGATCGGTAAATCGAAAGCAGTTCTCAGCAGAAAAGGGCAAAGGTCAAATAAGTGTCCACAGGGAGGAGCTTTGTCATTGCAGATTTTTAAAAAGCTGAAGCTACCGCAGTAGTTTAGGGTTTGAAACCGAGACATAGTTTCAGAATATTTACACCCTTATCTGCATGCTACATGTAGAATCTAGAATTGAAGCTCTAGAGCAGAGCATGCTGACCTGTGTGTGCTCTGCTTGATCCAGACACAGTCAGAGTTAAGTCAACAAAGAACGCGTGTGTCCTGGAAGTGAACATCGCTCCATGTGTTTCCCCTGCAGCCCGCTCCGCAGCGGGCTGGGCTCACAATAAAAGTTTTGAGTCCAGCCTGATGTCCTCACATGCCTTGTGACACGAAGGATCACATCTCGGCGTTTGGGACCAGAGTTTTTTTATTCGAAAACTAGTCTTTCCACTGGTTGAACGTTTTGTTCAGCTGGTGACCTTCGTCAGTCAGGACCAACTGGGTCACCCGGCTCCGGCTCTCAGGAGGGGTTGGTCGGAAGACACTCTGATTTTCTATTTTCTACACAGCAGAGGGAGAAAATGTATCCCTCCTGTATTATGGTATCTGTAGTGAAGCTTTCTGGTGCAACAGGGAGATTTCTTAACCCAGACCATGAATAACTGTTGAGTAAATGCTCAAGCAAGAAATAACCAGGTGTGAAATGATGTATGCTCCTGAGAATGTATAATTTTTTTTTCTAATTAACTTTGTGTTTTTACTTCTGAAGCACGACTAATTGTTTTTTATAAGGTTAATACAAAGGTGTAGGCCCTCTGTCCCTCGTAACTATGAGCAACACATTTAGGCAGTGGGAAGAAACTACATCACCAAAAGAAAACACACAAGTGGATGAGAATCACATGAAAAGGCTCCGCATAGACATTTGGCTAAATTAATATTTCTGTCATACACATGAATAAGACTTTTTGTGTGAAAAAACAAGTTTTTTCCATTTCCAGAGCCGTGTTTCCGTTAACTATACAATTGTGCAATTTCACATTTTGGAACTAAATTCACTAAATGGAAACAGGCCAATTTCACTGGCGCAAACCACAAAGAAAAAGACAACAGGAAGTGGTTGAAGGATGATGACGTAGCATATGTCAGAAGTTGCAGGACAGATGTGGTGGACCCAGGTTGTTGAGAAATGATGATTTTAATGGTGCCGCAAATAAAGTCCAGGCAGCACAGGGGAGCAAACAGCCATGGCTCTGACACTGGTAGCACTGAACGGACAACGACGATCGACCCAACAAGACAAGGACCTGACAGAGAACAAGAGACACAGGTGGGCATAAATGCATGTGGTAATCAAGGGCAGATGGGACAACACAGAAACTCAACTGACACAGAATCTCAAATAGACACACAGAAAAACTCAAATCCTTACAGTATGTTTTTCTTATTTTTTTTTATGACGTATTGTGTGACCAAACTTCTTCACGTGCAGTTTGAATTGCGTTTCTAATTTAATGAAAACGCTGCAACTGCAAAATTCAGGTTTTTTAAACATTAGGGAAAGTTTTTTATTTCTGTTTCAAATTTGTAACAGAAGCACAGCCACTTTGTGCCTTTTTGTTTTTTGAGACATCAAGGTAAAAACCGTCACTGTCCTGAAAGTGCAGACTGAAAAACTGCGACAAAAATCAACTTCCTCTGCCTCCTACTGCCACCTGCAGAAAAACACCACTCGATCAAGAAACAGCGATTCCACTTTTGTTTTGATGCTTTTTCCATCGTCACTAAAATGCAAACAGAAAACTGATTAAATAAACTCTTCAGAGAAACATGCTTTTTTTGTAGGAGTATTTTACTTCGGTACTTTGGAGTGGATATTAAAAACTAAAATGTAAATATAGAACACAGCAGGGCTGCCGTGGCTACGATGTCGTTCACCATCAGCAGTTTGCTAATGTGTGTATAAATGATTAAATGCAGTGAGAAGCACTTTGGGCTCCTCTGGACTTGATAAAGTGCTACATAAGTACAGGCTATTAACCATTTTAACATAGAACTAGTAACACATGTAATTATGAAGGAAAATAGGCTGTATTATTATCTCTTGGTTTGTATAATAAGTTTATGAGTCTCAGAATAATGTGCATGGTGGTGAGCATCGTACAGTTAATGGGCCCGGTTTTCAATTCCTTCAGAACCCTTTTAAACATTGGCTGCCAGACATCGTCAGTATCAGTCGGTCAGCTCAAGGTTATGCAAAAAACAAACATTTCATTTAAAAAATAACCCTTGTTGCTTAATCAGAATTATGTAAGCACAATAAATTAAATGAAAAATATGTTAGTTCCTTAGTCATACTCTATATAATCCTCATAAATCCTCTTCAGTTGACTTTGTCTTTAGCAACAGGCCTTTGGATAGGCCACCTGAAGACACTGACCTCTTACTGGTTATCATAAAGATAATGCAGAATGCATAACCTACATTAACATTAAATATTGTTGTTGAATTGCATGTTAACTCAAAATAAAGCAGTGCTTCAAGCAAATATAAGAAAACAATTTACGTAGGCTTATACTGTCTATGAATGTACAGGATTATCCGGATGACATGCAGGCTGGATCACTACCGTTATGAATACACTCCATTATTGGAATTAAGCTTTGCCCTTTGGATATTTGAAGTATTATGCGGAAACGTTAGCAGCAGTGGAAAGAAAAACAAACAAAAGCGGTTCTTACTGAAAATTCTGGTGGCTGTACGCTCACTAGAGCGATACTGATTCTGAAATCTGAAATCTTCTGCCTTAGCTAAATTTTTACCTGCTCATAACCTTTCAGCAGCTTAACATTCAGAAAAATGAGCAATCCCTTTAAGAGCTGTTCAGACAAAGCGGTGACAGCAGGTAAACCAATCCCTGCCTGGCTCGCAGGGCCAGCGGTTTGGCTGTAATCTAGTATTTGTACAGTAAACGCTGTTAAGCCTCTGAGCATGTGAGCGGTCATGTGCATGCGTGTGTCTGAGTGTGTGTTGTTACCAAAAGAGGACCTTTCAAAGCATAATTAATGACCTTGTTTGGACTATTAGCCTTATGGGGGCTGGAGCAACACATCATTTCTAAAGTTCTTGTAAGGGGCAACGTCAACGTCAGGGTAGCGTTAGGGGGCACACAAAGCCTGCAATGTCTTCAGAATATTTTATGGTGCAGTCTTGTATTTGTGTGTCTAAATACCGACCGCCTCGGTTTTCAGTGGTTCCAAGAAAACATTTGGCTCATCATGTCTGCAGTTTTGCCCTGGAGACAATTGGATGTTTTCTTTGCTTTATTTTGCTTGAAGTTCAGCGGACCGCATGGCTGCTGCTCAGTCCCACTCTTCAGGAACTTTTAGGGTGGGGAATCAACTCGGGCTTTGTGCTGATTTTATTAACTCTGGTTCCATGGAGGAAGGCTCCCTCGCTGTAAACGGAGCGAGAAAAAGCACCAGTAATACCAGTAAGCTTCCGAAGTCATTCGTGTCACTTTCCTGAGCTCGCCAAGACTACAGCTTGCCATAGAGCAGATAAAACTGTATGTTTATTTTTTTATTTTACAGTTTTCGATGATTTGCTTGCAGCATGAACGTCTGGTCACGTGCAACTAATCAACCTCACAATGCCACTGTAGATTGCCAAGTCACATTAGTCGTTTGGTTTTCCCATCATCTATTTTTACATCGTTCTTTCTTTGAGCTTGGGGGCAACTCTCTTTTTTTGCATGTACGTGTGTGTGCGTGTGTGTGTGTGTGTGTGTGTGTCTTTCTTTCTTTTTTTATAACATACCTTTTGTGCTGAGCTTCGAGCTGCTTCCTAGAAGAATCCTAGCATTAGTTGCCACAGGAGTTGTCACATGCATTTCCACTTTTCGGTTCTATTAATCGAAGTTCTGGGAAACAAGTAAATGGCTTCCTGTTAGTGTTCTAAAAGGCATGAAGAAGACATTTTGTGCCTGTTCATGTTATGCCTTTGACTTAGTCGTAAGCAACAGTGGTGCTGAAAAACAACAACTGGGCCACAGAGTTTGGCATTTGTTCATTTGTCCTGTTTCACTTACTGTAGGATGCTTTTTGTTTTAAGTTTAAGAGGAATAAACTTCACTGCTTGAGATTATGTTAACGCAACACTGTTCAAGTATTGAACATGTCCATACATTTCTCAGTAAAGGCAGTTCTAATGTCCCAGTGAGAACTTTTGGGCCCAATCGGGAAATCCTCACAAGATATACCACAGAGGAGGTAGAATGGTTCGAAAGTCAAGGACTTATTGTTGAGAGATTCAGTTTTCTCCAGAAGCCACTGAAATACTAGAAGACTAAGACTACACTGACAATTTATGAACTTAATTGTTTTGATTGCGTAGTATGTTTACTCTGCTGGTGTGAATGTCGTTTCAAGAACCTCATGAAAACTTTTCCTCTGTCTAACCTGACGTGCCGGTGCCTGCATTTCTGTTCTGGTCATAATACGATCTGATGCTGGACAAGGAACAAGCTCCGATTTGAATAGGCGGCTCGGCTCTTCATGGCTTCACTGATTCCTTTCCTGATGAAATTCTCTGTGGGATAACGACTCCGAGCCAACAGAACGGGCCATGTGTGCAAATTGGCTGAGAATCTCGGATTTGCAGTGTCACAAAATAACATCATGCAGGCGCATTACATCCAGCGGCTTAGTGTTGTTGTTCTCTATGAAGAGTGGTATATTGTTGTATACAAAACTTACTGAACAAAGAAATGTTTTGAATGTTTATGTAATGCCTACAGAAAATCTTCTATAATTGTTGTTTTCTCCTTTGAGATTCACTTGAACAGACAACATAGAGCTGTTGATGATGAATTGGAGAAACAATTTATCAAATGCCTTGCATGAAAAGAGAAGCCTGACCTGATTCTAACAGTAGCTGATTCACAATGAAATCTGGAAAACATGCAGTTGAAGTACGTACAGTAACACAGGAGAAGCTCAATATGGATTTTTAAGATTCGAACCTCAAATGATTTTCTCCTCTAGAAATGAAAACTCAAAAGCTAAAGGCTTTTTATCGACCCAAGCTTAAAAATCCAGTCCAGGAACTATTAAATCAGAAATATTTCAAGTCCAGTGTGTTGCTTGGAAATACAAAATAGGGTTTTGTCAATCCAGAGTAGATGTATGTAAAATGTTGTTGACCTTTGCCCTCTCTACTCTTTTGTATGTCGTAACATTTCCAGGCTAATATTGTAAAGAGCTCTTAATGTTTTGCCTGGTGAAATAAAGGCTTAACTAACAAATCTATGAATTTTTTAGTTCTGAAGAATGCCTAGAATTAAACTTTAAAGTACACTTTATTCTCCTTTTCCCAACTTGCCTTGGCTGCTAAGTTCTTGACAAGATTGATCAAACAGCACACTAAAGAAAACAACAACTTACAGAGTCAAAGTTGGCAAAGCAAACAAAAATGGTTCAAATTATAAGACAGGTCAACACAAACTCACACCTGTTTTTTTTTTTTTAAAGTGGCCTGTTATTCATGTTTCTGGGCAGCGGATAGAAAGTTAGAATGCCAAAAAAAAAAAAAACACACATGCACACTCATGAGAGTCACATGAAAAGGCTTCAAGTCCTTCATTCCACCAAGAGATTTTGCCAGATAAATCATTTTTTGGCTGTGTTGCACTATTCATCCAAAGGAAGAACATTTTTGGTGTGGAAAACAAAACCGGCTTCCCCCATATTTTCCAGAGATTTCCCTGTGTCTTTGGGATATAATAGTAAAACATCCTGCTTAAAGCAAGTAGGATGCCTGCTATTAGTTTTAGTACGAACATCCTGATATATATACGTGTGTGTGTGTGTTTAATTTATTTGATGCATTGTTAATCCAATGATTGAAAAACACAAATAAAGATCTATAAGACTTTTCGCTGTAATTTTGTGACACCCAGAATGCCCCTTCCTGTTATTACCACTAAATTAAAAGTCTATTTTTTTCATTTACTTTTTGTTCCTGAACCCTCATTGTTCTCTCACTTGTATTTCACTTTTCTCTCCTCTTCTTCTGCTGTTTTTTTTTTACCCCCCACCCAGTGACAGGAAAGCCGTTTTTTGTGGTCTCCAGTTTCTCCCACCGCTGGCTGTTCGGCTGGGAGGGCTGTCAGTTCTACGGCTGGGCAGGCTTCTTCTTTGGCTGTGGGAGCCTCATCACCATGACAGTGGTCAGCCTGGACCGCTACCTGAAGATCTGCCACATCAGATACGGTGCGTCCGCCAACAGTAGCCAACACTTTCTGACAGCGCAGGAAAAGAGCCCTGCAGGGAGGAATTATCCGTTTGGTATTTTGCTTTGCAGCAGGTGACAAAGTCTTCATTTCTAAAACTCAAGTGTCGATGTTCCGCATTTTTGATGTTTTCCTGGTTCAATTCACTGGATCAAACGGATGAATTGCCTCTTCAGTAGGCAGCCGAGTTGTCCAGACTTGCAAGTGAGCTGATAATTTAGCTCAGGTGTGTTGAAGCATCTAAAAGTAGCAGGAAAACAGCCCTTGAGGACTGTTGCGCCCCCAAGTGGTCATTACAGTCAAACTAATCAGGTTATATGGCAGGGGTCTCCAAAAAGTAAATAATAGGAGATGTTGAGTTTATAGCTGAAGCAGCATACATCGTCTGAACATAACTGAAGTTTCACACCATGATCCCAGAACACGTGGTTTTCAGAACCAGAGCATGTTACAGGTGACATTACAGAGCCTTGATCTGCTAAATCCCCTTGAAGTTCTTGCATTTACTCAACGCAACATGTGTTTGTCAATGTGACAGCACACAAAGAAAGACAGGAAATCATGTGAAGTTCATTTACGCTGGGTTAACACTACGCGTGGCTCCGCCGCACTGCAAAGCCTCAACGTTTTCCAAGTGTGTGAAAGGAGAGATCTCACCATCAAGACAGTGACACAAAATAGATGAGCGACGTCTCGGAAAACACTGCAGTTCTCAACTTACAAAATTGATATGTTTCCCTCCAGAGCTCTGCTCACTCCTACAGGATAATTCAACTGAACAGGTTTCAGAATTAAATCCATGTATTTTGTGTCTATGCATAGCATAAGTGATACATGCTGAGTACACCCATATGTTCTTTAATATAGCCAGTACTCCAAAAACAAATGACTCTGTCTTGATGCATTATTTTGGTGTTCGTTCATTTACCTGCCAGAGCGCCAGGATCGTTGAAGATTTCGGCGCCTGGCAAAAATAGGACCGCTTCTAATTTTGGCGGATGTTGATGCAGCGTGAGGAGGTAGTGTGAACACACTCACTGACTGAAATGGGTGTGTGTGTTTACTGTGGAGGCCACAAATGGAGATGCAAACAGTGGGTCAGTCTGGCGTTAATGACAGAAAATGACTTAAGTGTCCAATAAGTGGTTGGTCTTTACAAGCAGATAGGTTTTATCTCTTTGTTTTAAAGTTTCAGAGTTTAAAGTGAATGCAGCTCTAAATATATATTTTGTCAAACTCAATTAAAGTGCAACATGAACTGTGCTGCTCACTGCAACAGTGTCAAAGCTTTTCTCCTTTTCAGAAATAAAAGGAATATTTTTGTCATTTTTATGTCACTTCTAGACTAGTTTGGAGGGAATTGTAGGTTTGTTTGTGTTAAACGTTTTTCTAACGTAGATTATATGTTTCATATTTATTTCAGGCACGTGGTTAAAACGCCACCACACCTTCATATGCTTGGCCTTTGTCTGGGTGTATGCGGCCTTCTGGGCCACCATGCCGCTGGTTGGCTGGGGCCACTACGCCCCGGAGCCGTTTGGGACCTCATGCACCCTGGACTGGTGGCTCGCTCAGGCCTCTGTGTCGGGCCAAAGCTTTGTGTTGGCCATCCTCTTCTTCTGCCTCGTCCTCCCAGCGGGCATCATCGTCTTCTCCTACGTCAGGATCATTTTTAAAGTGAAGTCGTCGTCGAAGGAAATCTCGCACTATGACGCCCGCATACGAAACAACAACAACCTGGAGATGAAGCTCACAAAGGTCAGTTTTGTCCAAGATCGTAACAGTTGACTAAAGAGAGCAAAGTACACACTGAAGTTACAAAAAACAGTTTCATTTACTGAAATAAATAAAAACAATCAATGGGGGAAAAGTATTCCTACGTGGAATTACATTGTTCATTTATAAAACTAACTAAAACACTAACATGATAGATATGATAGCACTCGATTTTTGTGTTTATAGAATAGAATAGAATAGAATAGAATAGACTTTATTGATCCCCAGGGGAAAATTTCTTATTTGTCCATTTTAGGTAATAAATACAAAGTTTATAAAATATATACGTACCTAAGAGTGATAAGTTCAAAATGATTATATTTATAAACATATTATTAACCTTTTGAACTGATGTTAGATAGATGTTTTTCTCCACATACACAGTTTTTTGTCAGCTGTTGGTAAATTATTCCTCTCCATGTCCTTCATGTACGTTAAGCCACAAAATGGTGACAGCAGAAGTTGGGAATCAACAATAATGAAAAAGATTTTTTTGAAAATGGAATCTTTGGCTGATTACTCGCTACACAATCAATGTATCCATCAGCACAATCCTTTGACCTTTTTTGAGTTCTGTACCCGAAGATTTAGCAAAGGTAAACTAATAGAAAGGACCAAAATCATTGTAAAACTAATTCAAGCAAACAAAAAGTTACATCGAAATAAAAGTAAATCATAATGAAAAATCCACAAGTTTTCATAAAATGAGACGTGTGAATATGACCAAGAAAATTGGGATTACAAGAACAAGGCAGGATGAACAAACTTTAAGAAATGCTCTTGCTTAAAAAAAAAGAAAAAAAGCTTAAAACCCCGAGCATCATTTTCTTCTCTCTCCCAGGTAGCGATGCTGATCTGCGCCGGCTTCCTGATCGCCTGGATTCCGTACGCCGTGGTCTCTGTGGTGTCGGCGTTCGGCGAGCCGGACTCCATCCCCATCCCCGTGTCCGTCATCCCCACATTGCTAGCCAAGTCGTCTGCGATGTACAATCCAATCATCTACCAGCTGGTGGATCTGAAAAACTCCTGCTCCAACTGCTGCATCAAGGTCATGAAGAAACGGAACCATTTTAGGAAGTCGAGGTAAAACAAGTTCATTACTGTGTGGCGCTAATCTGGATCTGTTGGTTTTCACTTCCTTAATACTGTAGAGGCTTTTAAAAATCACTTTGAAGGGTTGTATTATTTTTACTTTCACACTTTGAAGCAGTTTTTTTTAATTTTTATATAAGATGGGTTTTATTCCCATTATCATAATAGTCAGCTCTGCTCTCTGCACTGATTTTTCTTCTAGGAGAACGATTTTCAAATTCTATCTCTCAGTGTTCCTTTCACAATTTCAAAGATTGCAAGTCGTTCCTGAAACTTCCACGAATTCCTTCACTAAGAAAACCTTAACAATTTTTGTCAGCTTAAAAAGAAATAACCGAGATGATGCTGAAAGTCTTGATAAAGCAGAAGGAAACAGGAATCGCACGTCTTCACGTCTGTCTGCAGGCTGTTGCCAGAATGTCCAGCGGAAACTGGCGACCTTGACCTCACGCTGGACGCCTTCCCTTTCTATTGCACAACAGCGTCAGCTCTCAGCATTTTCACACGACTAAAATTAGAGCTGATTGGATTTCAACGTGATTTTCAGTGTTTACCTGGTTGTATTTAATTGTATTACGTCAATAATGCTTCTAAAAACATTATTGACTCTCACATAATTTTAAAAATCACGTCAAAGTAAAACTACCAGAACGTATGATTGTGTTCATTTGGTAGAAATGAATACAATCCCCACATGTATTTGACAGGAAGGTCTTCATGCAGCCACTGTCCTGCAACATCAGGCAGATCCAGCAGCTTTAATTGCCTGTTTACATTGATTTAATTTCCAAACTGAATATTAGTGTAAGCTGGTTGTTAGTTTTGCCCTGAATACACATTGCAAAGTTCACATGGAATCCCCATAAAATGTTTTTTTTTATATATTCAGCTCTGGAAAAATTGAAGAAAACCTGCTGGTTCTTCCACCAAATACTGATTTCTGAACTCTTTCTGAGCTCAAACATTATTTCAGTTGTTAACATAAATATCAACTTGTTTATCGACAATCTGAGGCCTGAAAGCATTGCAGCTTCACTAAATACCACATTTTTGTTTGGGATTTCAGATATATGTGGTCATAGAATAAAAGCAGAATGTTCATTTAAATATAAAATATAGATCAAACAAATATCTAGAAAAAGTCAAATCAGCAAAACCGGTCATGTTAAGTGGTCTCTTCATTTTTTTCCAGAGCCGTAAATATAAACTTTATTTGAAACGGTTTTGAGTTTATTTCAAATGTAACTGATGGAGAGATGAGGAAGGAGGATAGGAATAGAGGAAGGTGGGAAAAGACAGAAGAAAGAGAAAGAGAAACCATAGCAACAAACATATGCATGTATAATAATAACAAATAAAACATCAATAGAAAATAGACTGTACAAGGTTACACAAGATGTATTTAGTGGCAACCACAGTTTTTCTCTACGTTCCTTCAGGTTCTACACGATCTCCGGCTCAATAAAGGACAGCAGACCAGCCAAAGACGCTCACATCGAGATGTGAAGCAAACTGTTGAGACTGCTGACCTTTCGTCTCTTCTACCGTGGACATTCTGCCTCCAGCCGTGCCGTCTCTCTGCCCAGCAGCTAACTAATCACACGCTGCCCGCCTGCCAGCCTGCCAGCCTGCCAGTCTGCCATGAGGTCATCACCTGCTCACCTGCGTTGCTGGTTCCTCCGTACTGCAGCTCCTCACCTCCACTGGATCTCCACCTCTCTGGTCGCTTCCCATCTGCACATGATTCTATCTCTGTTGTGAACACTGGTCTCTAAGTACAGATAAAATGTTGTGTGGACTTGTTGATTTTTCCATCTCCATTATTCAAGAGTTCTCAAAAAAAAAAAAAAGAAAACAATTTAATTGAAAACTAATTGACTCAGGTTTCCAAGTCAAGATGGAGCTTAAGCTATAAATGTTTTTGTTTAAAATATGGTGACAATTCTCTAAATTTGGTTTGTTAAACATTTTTATCTGAACTCGAAATTACAACTTCAAAAAAAAACAGATTCATGTTGATGTTCTCTGCTGTTTGTACAGGTTGTTGGTGTTTGTACTTTTACACTCGTGTTGTATATGAAAAACAATTTGTAAGTATCTGGATAAAGCACTGGATCAGATTATCTCACCCGGTTAACGGCAGAAACACAGAGATAGAGAGAAAAAGAGAGAGAGAGAGAGAGAGAGACGAAAGTCAAACCAGGAAAAGTTGAGCAATTGTTTCCATCGAAAGTCAGTACTGTGAGGTAAATGAAAACACACACACACACACACACACACACACACACACACACACACACACCCCCACACACACACACACACACAGGATGAGTGCACTTTACTTTCCAAGCCATTCAGAACGCACTGACGCCAGATGTTGCAATAGTTTTACGTCTGATTGATTGTTGCAAAATTGGGTTGAATTAATTTAAAGAAAAATACGTTCATTTCAACAAGTACCTGCATTTCTAGAAATAGAGTTATAGTGAATTCAGGGATGACTAAATTATATTTATTTTTGCTATATATTCTCTTTTTTTTTGGTTGCCACTGAAAATAAAAGTTGTTCCTTTCCTTTCTCTAGCAATGTGTTCATTTCTGTGTTCTGCGTTCACGTTGCTCTTTGTTGTAACTTTGCCTTTTTGGGAATGAATCTTAAACCGTTAGAAAGCCGACTTTCCTCTGAAATCGTTCCACCTTTGCAATGTAAGAACATTTGTGCGTTGAGCAGCAATGTTGGTCATGTTTGGATTTCGTCATTAGACTGGATGGTGAATCATGTACTTCCTGAAAGTCTTTTCTGGTCACTGGTTTAATCGCACATTGCTGTGGGACGGCGTCCTTTCCTCATTTAGCATTTATTGGTTCAACTTGTATAAAATGTAGTAATAAAAGCCACTCTGTGAGGACAGTGGCTGCCATTCGTTTCTGATGATGTCAAACATCTGCTGGTGGAGGAAACGCGATGCAGAGTGACCAACATTGTCAGTTTTGTTGCTAAACCCACAGATGGTTTTTACCAACAAATGTGTCATCATTTCAAGAGAAAGAAACAACCAGTCCTGCTAAACGCTTCTTAACACTTAACACAGAAAAAAAAAAAAACGCAAACAGCAAATGCAACTGCACCCTAATTCCCGTTAAATATTTAATTTATTCCATGTTAAATCTACTCTAAAAAAAGTTTAGAAATTCCTAAAAAAAACAACAAAAAAAAAACCAAGGTGTTTTTATGAGAATCCATTTCTCCTCTTTCAATTATTTGGACGTCAAAAGAAAACCCATAAAAGGATCAGCTGCTCTATTCACTGCACTAGGATTTGGAGGTGAGTTATTATGTTTTTTCATAATTAACATTTTTAACTGAATAAGCATAACTACATATAATAAACATATATAATAATGACTTTTACATATAGTAATAAACATTTCCACATATCACCTCCAAAGTCCGGACTCTCATTTGCTTACATGACTGCGCTGTGATTGGCTGCCTGTCACATTCAACAGGTTGCGTTCAGTCACCACTTCCTGTTAGCCACTGTACTATCCTAGCATGATACTGCCACTTCCTGTGCATAAAATTATCACTTTTTAACAAGATACGTATCACATCTAAGATAAATATCACGTGATAGCGCTCCAAATATTTTTTTCCTACCATGAAATCTCCAGAGTAGAAAATGAAACGTCTCCTTTCCTTGGAAACCAAATGTCCAGTTTTATTTATTATTTTTTTCACAGGAGCAAAGAAAGGTTACAACTGACTTGCACTTTTCAGAGAATACTAGCGTATACAGAGAAATAATGATGAAATGATTGCATGGCTGGATAAATGAATGTCTAAATGAGAAACGGCCACAGTTTAACCTGAGTTCATCAAACACTTTTCCTCATCAAAAACGTCTTTTGATTGTGTTTTGCATAATCTATCAATTACAGCCACATTGGCTGAAGCTAGTTTAAATGTTGGAAAAAGTTACATTTGTCTCAATATGAATGAATTTATTTAGAAATGTTTCGATGGTTTGAAACATCTCCTTTACTAGAAAGTGTGAAGCACTTCTGAGCTTTTCCTGGTTACCATAGCAACAGCAACTACTGTCACATTGATGATGTCACAAGAATCCTATCCTTTGTGTCATAGGTTCTATGACATCATCTCTGAAGCCTCTTAAATATTTTGTTGCTTGTGGTCTAGACTCAGATGTTCGTTCTACTGCCCGTTCTTAACAGACAAAAACGCACAATGAATTCACACATTAGTCAAAGACAACTACCTCGGAGAGTTATCTCATTAATGACAAGTGAGGAAGTGAAGAGAAACGAGGAAACCGTGACTCCTATACACGTTAAAAAACGTGATGGATTTTTAGACACTGTCATTTCACCGCTGCCCAGAGACGACAGTAAAGATATTAAGAAGAAAACGGCTACATTTCAAGAGACATGTAAGAAAATAGCTTATGAAAACCTGAAGGAGATAAAGAGAAAGGAAGTTGCCAAAGTCGCTTTAGAGGAGGAAAAGATTTCCAAAGAATTGGCCAGGCAGAAGTTGGCACAAAAGGTTCGAGACGAAAAGAAAGAAAAGAAAGTCAAGTTGAGAAAGTCACTGACTGAGACATTGGACGCTCAAATTCTTTATAAACAAGAAGAAGAAGGAAAGAGCTCACATTGAAAAGCAACAAATGGCTGCCATAATGGAGTCAGACAGACGACAACACATCGAAGAAAATGATAAGAGACAACAGAAGAAAGAGGAAGACCACAAATTCTTTAAATCAGATGACATGGACTCAAAATCAAAGACAAAGAAGGACAATTTAAATGACATATTGAGCAAAGAAGCTGCCTGCGAGTCTGCTGTAAAACAACAACTTTGTGACAATTTGGCCAAAAAGATTGCCAGAATTATTAGCTACGGGCCTCAGCTGGAAAAAAATAGATCTCAAAAGCTTTTGGACGAACAACTGGCTGCACGATATGAAAACAAGTGAAAAAGCAGAGGGAAATGGACAGGACTGAAAGAAAAGGGGTGCTTCCAGGATACCGAGCTGAGGAAATTGGAGCCAGGAGACAGACGAAGGACGAGAGTAAAAAAAGTACGGACAACCGCGACATGATGCATCTCAGTGTTACTGAGCAAGGAGATGTTGATTATGAATGTGGCTTTCAAGATCAAGAGACTGAAGGTAATATTTCAGATGTGGACAGAAATCGGGAAGCACGAAAAAAAATTGTTTTTGACCAAATTTCGGTCCTAAAGACAGAAGAATCCATCAAGAGGAATTTTATGGAGGACAAGATATTAAAAGAAAGGAAACATCGGGAAGCTGCAAAGGAAAAATGTGAGAAACTGGAGAAAGAGAAAAAAGCTGCAGCTGCAAAGTTATTGACAGATTCATGGGATTCCCAAATAAAAGAAAAACAGCAGCAGAAAAGGGAACGTCGTGAGAGTGAAAGGAAAGAGATGCTTTCCTTAATTGAAGAGGACAGAGTGTGTGACGTAACTATTACCAAACTCCATCTTGACAAACACAAACAGCCTGTTGTTCGCAAAGTTCATGAGATTCTGCCAGCAGCAGGACCAGTGAGAAGAACGTCTTCTGTCAAACTTGACACAAAAACTAGCAACGAAAGCAGACCTTTATGTTGTCAGAAACTCAACTATCCCGACCAAATCAAACTTCCCCTGCTGAACTCCAACCCTGTGTACTACCAAAAGAATTGTCAAAGTTTTAAACTCCCATCCATTCCCAAATGAAAATTAGGTCTTACCTTTTTCATTTTTATTTAGTCAACCATCAACAACAGGACATTAAACACAGAGACAAAGCAAACATGAAATTGGTTTTAGGCTATTAGCAACTTTAAGAAATTGTAACTATAGGTTTTCTCTGGGTACTCCAGTTTTCCTACAAAAACGGTAGACAGACAGACAGATTGATAGATTTTATTAGCAGATTAATCACAGTGCCTGTAATTAATCTGTTAATAAAATCAACTAATGTTTTAAACAAAAGTTTTCGCCGGGTGCTCCGGTTTCTCTACAAAAATGAGAGAGAGATATCTATCAATCGATTGATCAATAGATAGATTTACTAACAAAGCAAATTACAGTGTCTGCAATTTGCCGTTAGTAAAATCAACTAATCTTGTTTTCAATAAAAGTTTTCGCCGGGTGCTCCGGTTTCTCTATAAAAATGATAGAGATATCTATCGATCGGTCGATTGATAGATAGATTTTCCTAACAGAGCAAATCACAGTGTCTGTAATTAATCTGTTAATAAAATCAACTGATCTTGTTTTTGACAAAAGTTTTCTCTGGGTGCTCCGGTTTCTCTAAAAACACAAATGACAGAAAGTCAGACAGATATTGTCTGTAATTTTGTCTATTACTTAAATAATTCTACTTTGAACATAATTTTTCTGCGGTGCCTCTAAAAACAGGATGAATGGATAAATATTGTCCGTCTTCTCTACTGTTAAAATTAAGTAAACCTACGTTTGATAGAAGTTCTCTCTGGGTGCTCGGGTGTCTCTACAAACATGATTCTATGGAGAATCATGGAGGTTAACTAGTTATAAATTGATAGGTCGATCAATAGGTAGGAAGGTCTATAGATAGAGCTATCAGTAACACTTTATTTAAGACTGACATGACGAATCATAAACATGACATAACATCTGTCATGAACATGAAGGAGTCTTTATGAACGTTTACAACTGTTGTCATAAAGTATCATTTCGTAAATTAAAAGAGTCGCATAATTTTGAAAATAATGTCACTTTAACACAAGGCTAGCACTTTTAATGGACTTTCACTGCAACTTTTAGAGCAACTTTGCATTAAAAGTCTCACTATTATGGGGGCATTGAGAGTGAAGGCCTCCATATGTGGGTTGTGCCACCACAACTGATTTATCTTTGGCTAAAGTTATGTGAAAACCCTCAATTATGTGCTCATCTTAAGCAGTGTTATCCTAACGCCCTATAGGGTGAAGGGAATCTGTGATTTAAAACAAATCTATAATTTAATTATAGATTTGCTTGATATCATTCATCCTGTAAAGAAAGAAAAAAAAATGTTTCCATTATTTTAGCAGACCAACCCAAAAAGAAAAGTTTTCATTCACTGAAAGAACACAAACTCTTTCTGGTCATCATGAATTGAACGGGAAAAGCCAAGACAACATTTGATCCCAGCTGATCCCGTCAGTATGAGCGGCTGATTAACCTGAAATGTTTCCTGACTCGTGGAAAAAACTTTTCAGTCTTATAGAAACCCAAATGACCGGCAGCAGAAATCCCACCACAGTCTGATCCTCCAGAGTTTTCACAACCATATGAGCCTGAGACATAAGATATAATCAAAGCTCAAACTTTATGGTTTTTATCATTTCATAGAATCTAACAATTGTGGTGGGCAGTCGTTTTATAATGTAACTAGTTACATGATGTGTTGCTGCTCCATCTTGTTTTCCATCTATGCGACATAAAACTTTGGGTCAAGCTGTTTGCATAGACAGTAATTGATTCACC